ACCCTAAACCCTAAACCCAACGCCAGGCCGAGGCCTTGGAGCTGTTGCAGAACAAGGTGCAGCTATGGGAGGAGCCCGGCGCCTTAAAAGCCGAGGTTTTTTTTAATTGAGGGGCTTAGGGTTTCGGGTTTAGGGTTTAGGGTTTGTACGGTTGCGGGCTTATAGGGTTTAGGGTTTAGGGTTTATAGGGTTTCGGGTTTAGGGTTTTCGGTTTAGGGTTTCGGGTTTAGAGTTTAGGGTTTAGGGTTTCGGGTTTAGGGTTCAGGTTTTTTTTTGGAAGGGCATCCGTATTGATTGGGGCTGAATCGCGCGTTGTCACGGGAATCTTGGTGAGTGTACATTTTGGGTTTCATTAGGGGGATGTTAAACAATCTGGGGCCTTTTTTCTACAGCGGCGTCGACTTTATAGTCTTCCTTTTGGTGGCGACGTGGGCTGTTCGGGACTTCTAAGAGAACCCGAACTTGTAGAGCCAAGCATATTCATAGTTTATGCGTTTCGGCACTAGGGTTTAGGGTTATAGGGCTATAGGGAAGTTTGCAAACCAACGACAGGCGAGACTATAGAAGCCTTCATAATTAATTATCAATATTATTGCTTAGGGTTCCTCATTATAAGTATACTACAAAGGGGCCCAAAACCCTATTCTAATCAATAAGGCCCCTACATTAAATGTCTTCAGACATCCGTCCTCAGACAGACCCTGCGCTGCGTGGCCCTAAGCCCGAAGCCAAATCTTCCCAGACCCGATAAGGTTTAGGGTTTAGGGTGTAGGGTTAGGGTGTAGGGTTTATAGGGTTTGTACAAGCCCCAAACTCCACGCAAGGTCCTTCCGCACGAAGCTGCAGGCTCTCATCAACAAAGTCGCACCTTGGGCTAAAATTGGCGGCTCAATCGAGCGTCGCAGAGGTCGCGGCTTCGGAGCCGTGATGGGGCTAGAAAGCAGTCGGAATAATTTGTAAGATTATCCCCTTGTAGTCCATTTAGACTAACAGACTTATGACTTATGGTATAATGTAACCCCAAAACCCTCCTCAAGTCATGAGGTCCCCAGAAATCGAGTGTGCTTCCGTACATCAGGAACCTGTTAGACTGATCCTTGGGCCTGTGAGGCTCTCTATACTGGGCACGCCGTGGTTAAACTCCATTATATTGGAGGTTTAGGGTTTTTTTGGTTTTTTTCACCCTAAACCCTAGGCCCTAAACACTAACTCCATGAAATTGCAAGTCTCTATGAAATTATGGGAGATATGTACTAGCCGGACGTTTAGGGCTTAGGGCTTTTTGAACCCCAAACCCTTCGGGATTGGATGTTTAGAGCTCATGGGTAGAAGAAAAGGAAAATAACCCGCCCTATCCCTGAAAGAGTCCTTGGTTTAAGGGGGTGGACGTTGTGGGCTTATTGTGTGGCAGTTCTTGACTTCATCTAGAGGGCTTGGGGGCTTAGGTTTAGGGTTTCAGGGTTTAGGGGGTTCATGTGTTGTTGGGCTCTCCGAATGCTGGAAAACACTGGAAATATGGATGTCTGAGTGCATTTTGCTATTGTCACCTTACAGTCCATACATAATATCGACTTGATTCTATCCCAACGCACCATTTAAGGCCCTATGTTGAGGCCCTGAAATGTCAACCCTAAACCATCGGATGGCTAAGCTCGAGGACAGCAAGTGCATGGAGGGCTTCCTTCCGATCCTGTCCGAGCTAGGCGGCTCTGCTTGCACTTGCGTCTTTGGAGGCTTTAGGGTTTCTGGTTTGAGGTGTTTGGTTGAAAAACTGGGACACCCAAAGCCTAAAGCGTAAGCCCCGAACACCCCAACCCTAAACCCCAAAGCCCTCAATCCAAACCCCGTGAGGGTTCCGGTGTTCGAAGCCTTGGGTTGCAGGCTCGGCGCTCAGCAACAAGCCGAAGGTGGTCAGCGTGGACCGAACGCAAGATTCAAGATGCTCTCTCGCAACAAGCTTAGGCTTTATGAGGGTTTAGGGTTTAGGGTAACTTCAGGGTTTAATGCAAGGGCCTAAATAATTACCAATACTATTTCTGGGGGCTCCTTAGTATAATTCTTTGTTTTTGAGTCCCTAAAAACCCTATTGTAATTGTTAAGGCCCCTTTGTTAGGGCTCATGGTTTAGGGTTTGGGATCTTATATCTTCATACTTAAAGTTGCAAAGGGGCGTGCGGGTTCTAAAGCCGGTCATGGGAGCCCCATAAAGCCCTGTAAACTCCACAAGATCCGACGCCTGGTAGGGTTTAGGGTTCAGTGCTAACAGCTTACAGAGTTGTTTGAGCTCGGCGAGTAGATGGTTTCAGGATCCCACCTCCCCAGCGTATAGGATGAAAGGGATGTGTTGGCACAGGGAAGCCGCAAACGGATATTATGTTCGTAAGCCGCTAGAGACTGCGCTTCCCACCGAGTGTTTCGGGCTCACCCTATCCCTAAACCCTAAACCCCCAAACCCTACACTCCTATAAAACCTCTAAACCCTAAACCCCAAACCCCTAAACCCCAAACCCCTAAACCCCAAACCCTAAAAGCCCTCCTCCCCAAAAGAAACGAAGCTGCAGGATGATCGGTCCAAGGTTTCTGACTTCGGAAGTTTCAGCGGCTTGCGACTTCCATGTCAGAGCTTGAGGGTCCTCCTGAAAAAGAGGGTTTAGGGTTCAGGGTTTAGGGTTCAGGGTGTAGGGTTCAGGATGTATCGTTCAGGATTTAGGGTTCCGTTTAGGGCCTGGGGTTTAGGGTTCAGGGTTTAGCGTTTAGGGAGGCCCTGAGATTCCGGATCATGTGTGAGGTTTTTGGGAGCTGGTCAGCTTGAGATGGGGAACGCGCATAGATAAATGGATCTTACTTCTTAGGTTTTTCACGGCTGATGCAAGAGTGCCCCTGCTTAATCATGGGGTTGTCGAAGAGTGCGAGGGTTCAGTGCAAAACTCCAGTCAACTATTACTCGTACTTATAAGGTGCTTACATGGAACGTGGCTGACAACAGAAAACTGCTAGAGCTCCCATGTGGGTAGTTGACTAAATTAGGGTCCCTTTTAGGGTCCTTTCTATAAGGGTGCCGTACTATATTGGGGACCGAAAAAGGGACCGTAATTTAGAGAACTGCCCATGTAGGACATGGGGTCTCATGGTTCACACTTGCTTTTCTGGGTCACAAGTAGCCGTAAACCCACTAATCCTACACTGTCCGACACCCTACCCATAGGCCCCATAGTAGTTCCTTTTTGGGATTACCTAATAGGATCCTAAAAGCCACAAAAACCAGCTACAGTGCAGACTATGGGTAGGCACTGCCCTGCCTGAACTTGCCTCCAGGTTGGTGCAACCACTCCAACAGCTCGGGAAACAGCGATTCGCAGAGCGCGCGGTCGCCACAGGCCCCATAGTAGTTCCTTTTGGGGGTTCATATTTAGAGTCCTATAAGGTAACCCAAAAAGGAACTACTATGGGGCCTATGGGTGAACACACACACACACACATGCGCGTTTCTCCTCTCTATCTCACCAATGTTTATGTTCTGCCCGCTTTGGTTTTATCTCTTCCGCTTTATCCTTTCTCTCGCTCTTCTTCCCTCTGTGTCTGTGTGTGTATACACCGCCCCTCACTCTACTAAGAACAAAACAGACCGTGCTGTCATGACTGTCATCATCATCATCATCATCATCATCATCATAATCATCCTGACTCGTGTCTTCTTCTGCAGAAGTAGATGTTGGTAGGGGCACTTTTCGCTGTTTTGTAAGGGCCAAGGCGCCAAACGTTTCTTGTTGCCGAAGTTGAGGGCGAGGGATGGTTGGCGACAGTGGTGGGGTCGCATTTCGGCGTCTGGGGCGGTTGCAAAGAATGGCAACCCGAGTTTAATACGGTTTGAAAAGATGGATCCTTACCGTGAGGACCCTTAAACACATTACCACCAACAACTAGTAAGACTACCTCCATGTAACCTCCAGCAAGTCCTGCAAGGTCTTGAGATCCTAGAGCCTAATTTTCTTGTGTAGGGTGCTGGGTTACGTGACAATGCCCAACCCAAAATCCAAGACTTAAGCCCACACCCCTAGTTCTGTGGTGTTTTCAGGCTAGGACATAGGGGTGTCAAGATCTAGGGCATCTAGGGTTTAGGGAGCATCTGCAACAGGACCCTAGACCCCCTAAACCGGAGATCGTTGAGACAAGAAGGCGTCGTCAGGGTTTTTCAATCTTTCGGCAGCCTAGATCCACTCCAGACAGTTGCATGAACCTATTTGGGAGTTTCCGAAAATAGGGGGTACCTCATTTGGGGGTCCTTATAATAAGGATCCTACTATTTAGGGTACTATATTAGGGTCCCCTATTTTCGGAAACCCCTATTTGAAGAGGCCTCCGGGTTTCAGGGTTCAAGGTTCATTGGTTTAGGGCTTAGGGTTTAGGGTTTAGGGTTTAGGGTTTAGGGTTTAGGAGGGTTCAAGGTTCATTGGTTTAGGGCTTAGGCTTTCTTGGAGTGATGTGAGGGGCTGCGTCACTTGGAAGCAATATAAAGATGCCTACAGTCAAGGTTTTATTGATTTATACCCATAAAACCTGTTCTGGTTGACAAGGCTCCCTAAACCCTAAACCCTAAACCCTAAATCCCTATCCTAGGGTGTTCAGACAAGCTCAAACGCACCTTCAACCTTGAAGCCCCTATTAGGGTTTAGGGTTTAGGGTTTAGGGTTTAGGGTTTAGGGTTTAGGGTAGACCCTTAACCCCTAAAGCCCCTAGACCCCTATGAACCCCAAACCTCTAAACCCTGAACTCCTATTTGGGGGTTTCCGAAAATGGGAGACCCGAATATAGTACCCTAAATACCAGGATCCTTATGATAAGGACCCTAAACCCTAAACCCTAAACTCCCATATTCATGTCTTCAACAGTCCTCTCTCCGACGCTAGGCGCCGAGCCGATGTGATCCGAAGCCGAAGGTCGTTGCGCCGCAGGCGCCCCGCTCGGGTGTAGGGTCTAGGGTTCGTTTGGGGTTTAGGGTCTATAGGGTCTATAGGGTCTGTAGGGCTTAGAGTCTAGGGTTAGGGGTTAGGGGTTTAGGGTTTAGGGTTTAGGGTTAGGATGATTTTGAGGGCTTTAATAATTGGCATCGGCTTTCGGGGAGCACTAGAATGCGTTTATGAAGGGCTCCTTATCGCAGTCTTACCTATGCAGTAGCTGGCTGTCGATAGCCACATTATAGAGCAGGGGCGGGTATCCTTCCCAGGCTTACAGCTTTTTTGAGTGGAGTTGCCTGACCAGTAGGAACGGAAGAAATAATAGGTCGCACATCAGCGTGAATGCAACCCCCACTCCGAAGCGACAGCTCTCTAACCTGGATGTTTGACGAACATGTCCCCGCAGTCCCTAATCGGTGTGGTGCGCTCATACTTAGACAGTTCCTCAGGCTTAGATCCTAAGGTCCCTTTGAAGGCAAAACTTTTGGCTCTAATCGAGGGTCTGAGGAGTCAGTAAGAACATGGCCACACGAACCTGCCTGAATATCTACCTATAGTTCCATTGTAGTTCCTTTTTGGGGATACCTTATAAAATCCTTAACATATATTTGGTTAAATTCAAAAAAGGAACTACAATGGAGACTATAGGTAACGTGAGAAAAGCTTGGGCCCGCTAAGCAACCACCCAGGGTTTAGGGGTTTAGGGTTTAGGGGTTTAGGGTTTAGGGTGCACGGTCTGCAGGTTCAGCGCCAGTCCAGCGCCAGCCGACTGGAAGAGAGCCAACAGATCGCCCTTCAGCTGAGGATGGCGGCGTTATTGTTGGTGCATGGGTTTTCGAGAGTTTGTGTCTGGCTACGGTGGTGCTGAACAGGGTATTTGGGGTTTAGGGCTCAGGGTTTTAGGACTGCCTTTCGCCATTCTGATTGGGGTTATAGAAAGTTCAACTTAATTCAATCGTGTGCTGGTCAGTTTTGCAGCATTTCAGTGGTTCATGTAGCTAGTTCTAGTTTCAGCTAATATAACACTTTTAAACTTGTTTGAAAGCTCCCGTGTGCCTTCAAGCACACTTCGTGTTCGCAGACCCCGAGAAGACTGCACGAACACGAGCCTTTGATACTGTAGGAGCCTAAATAATTACCAATATAATTCCTTAGGTCCCTCATTATAACTATACTATAAAGGAGCCCAAAGCCCTATTCTAATCATTAAGGTCCCTACATTACCCTGCCAGATCTCGGAGGTTCGATCGTTTAATTTGAAGAGCAAAAAACAGGCCGAGGCTTTCTACGGTGTGGCAGTGGGGTGTATAAATTTAGGGTTTAGGATTAAGGATTTAGGGTTTAAGGTTTAGGATTTGGGGTTTAGGTATAGAGGTTTAGGTAGCAGTTCGTGTAGGGAAGGGGAGGTGGGGCAGTAGGGCTCTACTGTTTGGCGCCTTACTTGGTTTCGATGTTTGGGGGCTTCGCGTTTCAGGCTTTAGGGTTCCCACAAATCCACGCTCCCCTTAAGGAGCTCTACAAGGAAGCGTCTTCTCCCCCAAACCTGAAAATTCCCAGTTTGGGAAGCGTGTTCCGGAGTTGAAGTAAAGCCAGCAGCCGAGGGAACGCTGCTACCCCCGAACCCATGCCCGAAACGATCAACTTTCAGCCCTAAGACATAGCCAAACCCTAAAAAAATCAAGAGAGCTAAACCCTAACCTTAGCCCTCAAGCCCTATTATAAAGGCCTACATCGGACCTATACTTATGAACGCCTCAGACGCCGAGGAAGCGCTGCTTCAAGAGAACTTGCTCCTGAAGGAAGCACAGGTCCGGCTCCGAGAAGAGCCGCCTGGCTTGCAGTGACGCCTAAGCCCTAAACCCTAAACCCTAAGCCCTAAGCCTAAAACCCTATGCAAAAAAAACCTAAACCCTAAACCCTACTATTCCCTTCTACCTATTTTTGTGGGGGTAAAATTTGTTCTGTCACGTGATCTAAGGAATGTGGAGATGCGAGAGCGGGCGCACAGAATGCAGGCACGCCGAAAACCCTAAACCCAATGCTGTCAGGAGGGTTTAGGGCTAAGAGTTGCGTGTCGCGTGTGATTTGTCAGGGTTGGGGTTTAGGGTTTAGGGTTTAGGGGTTTAGGGCTTACAGTTTTGGGTCAAGGTTGGGTGTTTCTCATACAAACACGTAGAACTCCGGCACTCCCAACGCAACGATAAGCTGTTGGCCAGGATGCTGCGCATCAGATGCACCCGGTCCCCGCCCCCGCGCAATTCAACCGCTGCTGGACCCAATGTGAGGGTGTAGGGCATGTGGAGTATATAGAGATCATTGAGATGTTCTGGCGACTAATTGCAAAATTTCACGGGCCGTCAAGCCAGAGGACCGTCTTCCCCTCAATGCTCACGCTGATGCTGCGCTTACTAGGCTTGTTGTGCTTGTTGTGTATTTTGTTGCTGCCGCTGCTTCTAATGCTGCTGTTGCTGCTGCTGCATTGCCACTACCACTACCACTGTCACTACCTCTTTTGCTGCTGCTGCCGCCACTGCCTCAACGACTACCACTATACGGCTTCAGATACCATACAACGACGGCGACGACTGCCACTACCACCTACTAGTTCTGACTCGCAACATGCGACTTACAGGTACCACATACTGCAGACTACAAGCCACTACAGCGATTACTGCTACTATTGTTACGCCTACTGCTAATCAGTTTTGTAATCATCATCATCATCATCATCATCATCATCATCATCTGTAGCAGCATGTCCTTTGTTTTGACACTTCTGCTTTCCTGGCCTCGCAAGACAAAGCATGTTGTTTCGGATTGTCCGCTTCAGGAATAAGTGATATGCCTCGTGTTTGCCACAGAGAGTTACCAGGATTGTGTAGGTGAAGCACACGATGTACATCTATGTGAAAATTCGTCGTATCCAGGCCCAAACAACCAAGCAGCATCACAGACCACATGCAGCAAGCGCGCGACTTTCGATTGCCAGCACGCGATCTACACGTGGCCATGGACATCTGGTACCTGACACGACAACGCTACTCCTCCCGCAGCCTAAAGTAACCTGAAGCAAGATGTCACAAAGCCCCTATCACACCTTGGTAAATAGGGAAAACGCGAAACTTGTAAAAGCCTCAAAACTCTGAAACCCAGCCATGTTGGTGATGGACAGGACCCTGCAGTATGTTCCCCCAACCGGTTTAGGGTCTAGGGTCTTTTAGGGAATCATAGTCATTCTGGTTGGTATTGTCGCCAAACCCTAAAGCACCAAACAGCCACTTAGCCTCCGCACAACCTACCACATGCCATAGACCTTGACCCTAAACCATGCAGCCCGTACCTGAACAAATAACCTTGCACCATCTTACACCGGTTAGAACCTAAAACCCCTTTAATGGGTTTGGGTTTAGGACATTTTAGGACTTGCGGTTTAAGGTTTAGGGTGTAGGGTTTAGTCGCAAATCCGTAGAATTTGTTGGTCCACCAGCCCACCAGAGCGCAGGAACCTCTGAAGCAGATGACTTGTTCATTGGTACCGTTGAAGGAACATCTTCCCCCCCTCCCAAAGATCCTAAGCTCTAAGCCGAAAACTCACTCCCTTTAAATCCTAAACCCATGTTTAGGGTTTAGGGTTTAGGGTTTAGGGTTAAAGCTGACATTATGTCGGGTCAGTGATCCCATGTAGCCGCAGCTACTGCATCCCCAAGGCTCGGCTCGATCCCATTCTCCACCGATCCAGCCGAAGGCGCTGTTCAGTTCTGTTGTAGGGTTTAGGGTTTAGGGTGTAAGATTTTGTTGTTTTTGGGTGTCAGTGTTGCAGGTGTTTTTACTGTGGTCGGGTGTTAGCGTTTTCGTGCATGTGGGGTCGTCTGGCTTGTGGGGTTTATTCAGGCTTTACGTAACGTAGGGATGAAGGGTGTGTATGGTGTTTGGGGTTAGGCCTTTTGTTTTAAGGGTTTTAGGGTTGCAGGACGTATACCGCAGTTTCTTGAAGATACCGGTCGCTTAAACTAACGTGTTGCATTTTTTTGGTTGGGACTATATTTTATAGACTGTACTAAGGTCCACTATTCCGGTAACAAGGGTTGGTATAAGAGGTTTATGTAGACCCTCACCCTTTCTCCAGCGTCGCACTTGTGGAATGAAATTTCTGGGCGCAGTTGAGGCTTTGGGGTTTAGAGCTCGCTTATTTGGAGTGAGTCAGGATGTAGTATTCAAGCTTAAGCTTGAAGAGCTACCAACATCATTCCCTGGAAATCATACAGTATACTATAAGATATCTCATTAAGCCCTATAACCCTTATAAACCCTTACAAAGCCCAAAACCCTAATTAAATCCGAAGAAACCTCAAGCAATTAAGGCCCGTATGAGGTGTAAGGTTTCAGGCTCGGCCTCAGCTTCCCCATCCTCGTGGACAGGCTTCGGCATCGCCTCCACCACCGGCGGGGCCGCAGGACGGGCTGGGAATATTCTGCGAGCTGGAACAGCAAACGGTAGCACTTTCATCCGGTTCGTTTCTGTACCCATAGGCCCCATAGTAGTTCCGTTTTGGGATTACCTTATAGGATTCTAAATATGAGCCCCCAAAAGGACCTACTATGGGGCCTATGGGTAGATCCTCTTTGCAATTCTGAATAGAGCGCAGCAACCTGCCAGTCAGGCGGCCGATACGTACCTAATCGCAGAGGCGTCCATCCGTCCATCAATCTACCCATAGGCCCCATAATAGTTCCTTTTTGTGGCTTATATTTAGGATCGTATTAGGGAATCCCAAAAAGGAACTACTATGAGGCCTATGGGTATCCATCCATCCATACCCAGGCCCATGGACTGATATTGCTAACACAACGTCCTCGTAAATCTGCCGAACTCATGCATACCTGGACACTTTCCCAGAGGGTCCGAGTACCCAAATAGTAAGGTTTTAGGTCCCAAAATCCATACTCGGAATGGTTTTTGGACCTTGAGACCCTACTATTTGGGTACTTGGACCCTTTGGGTTTCATACCAAGTCGCATATCACATACCCCATGCGCAGACCTGATATGCTGGAGCCCTGCGGAGGCCTCCAAAGCAAACCGTTAGGGTTTACAAGGTTTAGGGTAACATAGGGGCCTTAGTAATTAGAATAGGGTTTGGGGCATATTATACTATACTAAACTACGGAACTCCCACAACCCTATTCTAGTTATTAAGCCCCCTACATTTAGCTGCACTCCAGTCTTTCGCTTCCCGACTGGTGCCCCTCATTAAACTGAACCAGGCGCCTCGTCCCCGCACCTCCTTGCCGCCGAATGGGGCGGCACAGCCAGGCTTGTTTCTCCAGATTGTGTAAGGGTCGGTTGAAGTCTTTTGGGTAGTTCTCTAAATTAGGGTCCCTTTTAGGTCCCCAATATAGTGCGGCACCCTTATAAAAGGACCCCCCAAAAAGGGACCCTATTTTGGAAAACGACCCATATAGGCTTTTGGGTTGAGAGTTTCGGGTTTGGGCTTTGTGCTCTACGGCCTTACAGTTGTCAGCAAGGGCTCGTAGGTATAGGTACGACGGTAGGAGCATGATGGCTTCTTGTGATGGCAAGTGAAGATCAGCATGACGGTGATGGTGGACATGGTGAGGGAAGTGTGGGTGGCGGGGGATGCGCCAGTGGTGGTGCTGGCGCTGGTGCGCTGTCCTCACGCAGCTGGAGACCGGGGCCGCCATCGACACCCTAAATCTCGCCAGTTCCAGAACAACGCCGAGGTGTGCTGGTGCGCTGGTGCTGGTGCTCTTGGCACGGGGTGCGCCAAGGTGCTGGTGCTGGTGCTGGTGGGGTGGTGGCGGCGGCAGCGGTGGTGGTGATGGTGAAGATGACGATGACACTGCGATGATAACATGGCCGAAGATGATGGTGATGGTAATCAGTTAGTCCATCTCAACTCTCCCACTCCAACAAATCCAAGCTCTACAACTCTACGCCCAGAACTCTGAACCCTAAGCTTTCTGAACCGTGCAGGTCTGTCGAGACCCGTGTCAATGACCGGACCGGTGATGTCCCGAACGATGGAGCAGAGGCCTTCGTAGCCTATATAGGGCTTAAGGCTCACAGTTTGTCGTTGAGGTTGTGTGTTGTGGTTTCATGTTTGTTGTGGTTTAGGATTTCGTCTTTTGTGTTCATGTTGTTTTTGTTGCTTGAGGCTTGGGGTTTTGAGGGGCTCCACAGGGCGGGTCTCCCTCGTAAGGGCCCTATTGTTTTGAGGTCTTTACTTCGTCTGACCCCTGCCCCCCAGACATCAAGGATTTGAGATGTTATATCAAGTCCTGGGGCATGCTGCTGAACCCTCAACCCTAAACCCTAAACCCTAAACCCCTCAACCCTAAGCCCTCGGCTGCCGTGCTTGATCCTGTCAATCTCCCAAAGATCGCATGGGACTCCCCAGCGGCAGGTAGGGATGGTGAAATTTCGCAACAGGTGCTGCAAAGAACACTACAAAGGGTTTAGGGTTTAGGGTTTAGGGTTTAAGGCTCTATGGACTCATATTCTCAGGCTTTTGGGGGCTCAGAGACGGATTTCTGGGCTATTTTGAGCCTTAGGGTTAGGGTTGAGGCCTTGGGGCTACGAACAGCGCATCCCCAAAACCCGAGCCCCCAACCCGAAGTCGCTTCTGCACTGCGAACTAGGCTTTTAAGTTTATAGGGTTTAGGGTTGCTTAGGTCTTCCCCGTGGATTCGGGTCCAGGGGTTTATGGGCTTCTGGGTTTCATGGAGGTGTTGGAGCCCTGAACCCTAAGCCCTAGACCTCTAAACCCTAAACCGAGTTCTATGGAGAGTTGGCAGTTGTTGGCGTGCTGCTCGTTATTGTTGTGGGTCGCGGCTGGCTTTCGGAGCCCCGCAGTGGGAGAAACTAGCTTTCGTCCCCGAGCACTGCAGTTATGTACGCTTTGTATTGAAAAGCCCATCGACCCTGAAATCGATCCCGCAGCCTGACATCTGACCGCAGCTCAGCCGCACAAGATATCATGACATTGTCTGCAACCCTATCACTGTAACATTCATTCTAGGACATTTTCAGGTGGGTAGTTACCGTTATAGGAGCCTTCTAGAAGGTCTATATACTTTATATAGAAGCCTTATATACCCTGAACTCCCCACCTGGACCTGTAGTTTCCTTTAATTCCTGCCTCAATCCGCAACAACCCCAGAACTCAAGTGGAAGTGGCATGTATAGAAACCCGCAGCGCAATGGCTCCCCCAACCGTATGGTTCAGGGGTTTAGGGTTTAGGGTACACATTGTCTAAGCCCCCGAGCCCAAGACCGAAAACCCCATACATACATCTGAATCTAAAGCGCTTGCCTTGCTTCCTCCAACATGCCGCGACCCAGTAAGGGCTGCACAGGCCCGGGTTTCATTTTTGGGTTCGGGAACAATCGGAGCACATCAGAATTGTCGTTGGGGTTCCCTAGTAGGGATTCTGACTTGGGCTGCGAACCCCTAAAACCTAAACCCTAAACCCTAAACCCTAAACCCCTAAACTTAAACCCCAAGCCCTACTATAAGCCTATGTGTCCCGGGCAGTTGGGGTGTGTTTACTCTGGTGTCAAAGGTGTCTTGGCTTTCCTGTGTCGGTGGGTTGATGTACAGCCTGTGCTTCTATACAGGTTGAATTTTTGGATCTGTTCAGGTGATTTCAGGTGGTCGCGGCTGCCCTAAACCCTAAACCCCTAAACCGTGTACCTTTTGTTGGAGCCTGGGGAAGCATCGATAGTCTGGGGTATCGGCTCACAAGGAAAGATCGCCTAGCAGAGGATGAGGGTAGGTTTCAGGTACGGTTGCCGGCTCTGTGTCTCGTTTTAGGGTTTAGGGTTTAAGGTTTAGGGTTTGGGGCTTAAGGTTAAGGGGTTATGGTATAATATGCCCCAAAACCTTATTTGATTATTAAGGCCCCTATATTATTAGGGTTTAGGGGGTCGAGATCTTCAGCCAGGATTCAACTTTCCTCTCGCTCTCTTGACGATGTGTTTTTTTCTAAGCGGAGGGCGCAGAGAGATCGGTAGTCTAGATGGTACTTGCGGATGTGTATCTGTTCAAACCTATTCATACGCACGTTGAGGGAGCATTCAATCACAACCCCTATACTACCCTGACAGCAACCCTTATAGTACCCTTTCGAGGGCCCCAGAATTGCTTTGGGTTGTCTGATGGGCTTGGCTTAAAAGGTCGCTAGGTGAGGGTTTTGCGGGGCTACATGCTTCAAGCTATGAGAGGGTTTCGGGTTTAGGGTTTGGGTTTAGGGTTTGGATTACTTTTCTGTTTTTGGGACCCGGTCCTGCTAGTAAGGAACTTACTCTGTTGGGGTGATGTTAGGGTCCCCGATTGTTCCGAAGCGCCCGTAGCAAAGTTGCAAAGGATCTCTGAAGCGAACCGGAAAGAGGCAAATTGCAGTAGGTTGAAGTCTTCGAGATTGTGGAAGACAGCGACCGAGATTTTCAAGTTAAAGAGCGTCCACACCCCCCCAACCCCGCAATCAAGTCCGAAACCGCAAGGCCAAACCTTGAAGTCTAAACAATAGACACTGCATCGCCAGGCCTTGATCCCGATCCCTGTAATGAAAACCTGAATTCCCAAATCCGAAACTTTGATAAACCCGCTCAAGCCCATCATTCCTTAGGGGGCATGAGTTTATAGGTTTAGGGTTAAACGCCCCGCCGGAAACCTCGAGCTGCGCTGTGTTCCTGTATTGAGACGCTTGAAGTAAAGTTGCCATAGCAGGGCCTATCGTAAATAATAGTCGGCTTTCCGTACATACGATGATGATGTATCTATTAACTAACCCTCATAGTGTGATTTCCCGCAGCAATTAAAAATAAAACTCTGTTCAACTGCGGTACATGACTAGGCTTTCCTCATTGTTGTATCTTCCACATGTTCATTCCTTGACACCTTCTACGCCTAACCCTAAACCCTGAACCGTCTAAGCCTTGTTCACCCCTCAACGCTTAACCCGCAGGCCTCGAGCCTAAACCCTCCACAATAACCCTGACCCCCTAAACCCAAAATCCCCTAAAACCCTGAACCCTAAACCTTAAAACGCTAAACCCCAAATCATAGACCCTGAACCTTAAAACCCTGAACTTTAGACCTTAAAACCCTGAACCCCAAGTGCATTCATCAAATCCAGCCTGCAGGCCCTGGATCCTGGCAGGATGTCCGTGCCGGCAAGCTGGTGTCGAAACAGATCCCTTGGGAGGACAGGTTTGGGGTTAGGGTTTAGATTGTTAGGGTTTTAGGGCTTAGGGTTTAGATTTTTAGGGTTCTGGGGTTTAGGGTTTAGGTTTTAGGGATTCGCGTGCAGGGGTGCCGTGATTGGAGATCTCGGGTGTTGCCCGGCTCAATGGTTCAAGGCTTTGAGGATTTAGGCCAAGGGGTTTAGGATTTGGTCTTTACCGTTTGGGGGTTTAGGGTTTTGGGCTCAGATGACAAGATCCAGTTGAACCAACAGCGTTGTGCGCCTCTTTTTGTATCGGCCCAGCTTCAAGCAGCCGTACTCTGGCTGGTGTCTAGTGTTCATATGTATAGTGCCTGTGTTTCGGGGGCTTGAATAGCTAATGATGCTGTTCCAGAGGGTTCTCCAATCATGGTACTATGAAATACCCGCAATGCCTTGTTCTTACGACCACTACACTATCTATCTATCTATCTATCTATCTATCTAGCTATCTATGTATCTATCTATCTATCTATCTATCTATCTTTCTATACACATATACATACACACACACACACATATATATATATATATATACACACACGTATTGGGTAGGATGCACCCACCCCTCCCCGGCCGCACCCAATGACGCCGCCTTTTGTGCCCCACGATTTTATTTTTAATAATTGTAGTCCTAACATGTCTTTACCCAGTGCCCATATGCTCACATCTACGACTAAGCCCTATGCTGTAAATCCCAAGCCGCAACCCAAGCCGTGCATGGACCCAAATTCCTGAAACGTACTTCCCCGCAATCCTGACGTCAAAGCATAGTCTCCGAACCCAAACCTCTTAAAGCCCGGACCATCGACCTTAGTCTGCCAACCCTGCTTGTCGAGAGTGAGTGCCAAAAATCTCCCAACCCTGCAACCTGAAAGTCCGGCCCCCAAAGATGTAAAACCTTTGAAACCTGTGAGGTGGCCATATGGGTAGTTCTCTAAATTAGGGCCCCTTGTTGGATCTCCAATATAGTACGGCCCCAATATTAAAAGGTCCCTAAAAGGGACCCTAATTTGGAGAACTACCCATATGGAAAGCAACAAACCCCAACAAATGCTTCAACGCGCTATAAACACCCAAGTGAGAAGAATGACTCGCGCAGGAGCCCGGGCTGCCGAAAGTGCAGCGAACGGTGCTGACACGAGTAGGTGAATTGAGCACAGTTTTTTCAGTTTTTTGGGATAATGTTCTCCCTTGCAGAACTGAAAAGATACACTATACTGGGCTTATGAACATATTCTCCCTTGCAGAACTAAAAAGGTACACGTTTCGGGGCGCATGAACTTAGCAACTAAGGACCTATTTGCCGGCTTCTGCTGTTGGCTGCTCGGCGGCTTCGAGGGTCGATAGATGAGTTCAACTACTTGCAGCCGTAGAAGTAGAAGTAGTAAGTGTAGTAGCAGTAGTAGCAGTAGTAGGAGTATCAGTAGTAGCAGTAGCAGCAGCAGCAGCAGCAGCAGCAGCAGCAGCAGGAGTAGTAGCAGCAGCAGCAGCAGCAGTAGTCGTAGCAGTAGTGATAATAGCAGCAGCAGCATCAGCAGCAGAAACAGGAGT